TAACCAATCAAGTCAGCACTTTATTTTTTCATGATGTTAGGTAACAAGCAAGGGGCTCTTGAATTCCTCAAATTGATTTTCCGAGCACTTTGCCTCTGCTGGGACCGCCAAACTCAGGATCTACACATTGATTGGATACTTTTCAGAGGTAGATCTTTGATTCCTGTTTTATGTGAAGTGGTGAGTGATAACATTGATGGATATTATCCGTCCTCACACTATCCCATATTTACTGAATTTATGCTTCCTCGTACTGTGAGAATGATTGAACCACCACCAAATACAACTCAAGAGGAAACTTAAAAATTCCATGTTTCAAGGTTTACTCACACCCCCCTTTTTTCACCATTGAACACAAAGCAAAAATGCTCATTGTTACCTTGTTGACACACAAATTCTGTGGTCAGAATGCACAATTACCTGTCAAGGAGTTTTCTCTCCATGGCGCGATAGGAATGGGGAATTGTAAGCCAGTGATATGGCATAGCTTGTGAAGTATATTTCGATTTTGGTGTACCTAAAGTTTGCGATCTATCTACTTCTCCGAAAGGGCTATCTAGGATGGGGGATTATTCATTTGCTGTGAAAGTGTTCTTGCTAGTGTTTCAAGAATTGTTTCTGGGAATGCCTTCATTTTTTTTATCTACCATGATGATTAGTAGCTCAAATATTATAAATTTTGAGCTTTATGAATAATAGCTGTCTTTTTCCTTCCTCAAATTTCCCTGTTGGCATGAATTGAAAGTTCTCTTAAAGTTGCATTGTTATTATTCTCAGTTCATGCATAAATCAGCAATAACCAAAAGAAGGAAAGTAGGACTAATTGAGCATGTGCCAAAAACTTTCCCAGAAATCCGACACCGGTGACACTATACTTAGGGTTTGGTAGGGAGTTTTTTTTTTTTTTTTCCAATGGTTTTAGGAGGTTTTAATTAGACTAGTTTTGAGGTGTTCTAAAACCAGTATTTGCCAGATTTTTATGCACTGGTTTTGATTTATTCAAAAAAACCCTAGAACTAGTGTAGTGTATTTTTGAGGGGTTTATAAAACCCCCAAATCAGGGTGTTTTGGTTGGTTTTAAAATTTTACTTAACAAATATCCTATCCAATACAAAACTATTCCAATTAAATATAAAATAATTTTAAACAATCATAAAAAAATAATAATTAAAATCTCATTTCTAGATGCTTTCTTGAAGAAGTGAAGATACCATTTTTCAATCATTCAGATGTCATAAAGAATGATAAAGAGGGATAATGAGACTTTATCACATTTTAAGTTATAAAATACTAATAAGTAGAAATCAAATAAAGAAAACTTTCCTTGTAATTGAAAAACGAAAAACAAAACTCTTGAGTACTGGTTGAAGTTGGAGTATTTTTATGGGTATATATATAAATTTATCATTTTAAAAAACTATCAGAATAACTGGAAAATAAACTCTCAAGCGTAGGTTAGGTGTTTTAAAAACCGTTATTAAAAGCTCTTTAAAACTGTTGTGGTGGTTTACCTTTAAAACCGTTATTGTGATTTACCCTTATAACAGTTATCATGAAACTCCCAAGCGGAATGAAATAAGTATCTCGACTTTCTATTTCAAGTAATGTAGTAGCCTATTAATAAATACAACGATAATAATGTAAGGATGTGGTACGTAATGTGATTCTACCAATTCAACTGTCACATCACTTGAGATACAAAGTTGGGAATTAGTGTCACCAGTTGAGTGAGTGATTACCAAATCTTATGCACTGGCGTCTCATTCTAGATTATGTCCGTAATCCTCGGTAAATAGTGATGCATTTTTGGCTCTTGCTCTTTTGAACGAGAGATTCTGAAGTTTATAATGTTGATAATTAATTAGTAATTAGAGTTGGTTAGTATGTGATTAATCAAAGTTTTAAGCTTATAATAACATAATCAAACCGACATTATCACCTCTCAAGAAAGTGTAGATGATTGCTTAAGGCTTAAAATAACACTAAACCCTTCACAAAGTCACCTATAATCAACTCTAAATCAATTAAAAAATATGTACTCCAATCTCAATTATAATTATTAGACACAATCTTGTAGCTTAAACAAAAGACTTGACTTCAAAGAATCAATATTTTAAAACATTTTTCAATTGATGATATATCTCTCTAGTTGGTTGTTGACATGGATGTAGCAAAGGGTCCACTCTTAGCTTTCAACTAGACTTTGTTAGGAGGTCTCTCTCAACCTCATTCTCACTTGTCACATTTTGCCTTGTATTTGTTGGGTGGGTGTTTTTAAATCAAACCCCAATTAGAAGAAACACCTTTGCTTGCTTTGTTTTATTTTGTTTTCATTTTCTTGGTACAACGATGCATGTATATGAGAAATATTATATTATTAGATGGGTCTTCATGACAATCGAATTGGATTATGCTACAATACAATGTTATATCAGTACATGAACGTAAAATTTATAGACATATATCGTGAAACTTATAAACCAAAAATGTAAAACTTGTAAAATACACTTATACGGTACAATGATGTATGCATATGAGAAACATTATATTATTATATGAGTCTTAATAACAGTCGAATCTGATTATGCGATAGTACAGTGCTATATCAATACATGAATGTAAAATTTATAAACTTATATTGTGAAACTTGTAAACAAAAAATGTAAAACTTGTAAAATACACTTATACAGTACAATGATGTATGCATATGGGAAACATTATATTATTTCATGAGTCTTAATGATAGTTGAATAGGATCATGCTATAGTACAGTGCTATATCAGCATATAAACGTAAAATTTATAAACATATATGGTGGAACTTGTAAACAAAAAATGTATAACTTGAAAAATACAATTATACAATGCTACTTATAAACTTATATGGTAATTTTTTTTTATATATTTTTTTATGAAACTCTTGAAAGAGGTAGTAATTAATGTGAAAAGTGATTTTAGGTGTAGTGATTGGGATATAAGAATTTATTTCTTAAAAGGAGTAAGGCATTGAATTGTTATTCTTGTTATATAGTAAATGATAATAGTAAAATTTGAGATTCTCTAGCCAAAATATAGTTTATAATTAATGTATACAACTAATTTAATTACTTAAATGGGTATTCTTTCCTTTGAACTTAATATGGCATTTAAAATATTATCTTAAAATTCTCATCCCAACATTATATTTTCTTATATAGCATTCATATATAAACCATAAATTGATAATGATATAAGTGTCGTATATGATAATAAATCATATTAATTCCAACATTTTAAAACCAAACCCGGGGTGAAACCCGACAAAGTTGCCAGGTCTCGGGTTGACCGGTTTAACAGGTTTGACCAGTGGTACACCCCTAAAATTACAGTTAGGTCACTATAGGTTTAAAATTTAGCAAACACACTCCAAATACAAATCGGTCAACAATTGGTTGGCATCGGGGGGCCCCCAGATGCAACCCCAATCATCCCTTGAGCCTATTCCCCTTAAAATATACCCAAGATCTGGCCGAAATAGGTTTGATTTCGACCAGATTTCACCGACGTCGGAGTCGACGTCGACATTCCAGGCCAGATCTCATCGACGTAGGCGTCGACAACCCTCCTCATCACCCATAAATTACTCCCCTCTTCCTCTCGACCCAAACCCACCTCACCCCACCCCCGTTAGCCTCGCCAATCGCTGACAAAAGCCAGTTGTTGCTGCTGCCAGTTTTGTTCGATTTCTGGTCGATTTACTCACTGGAAATCAACTCCGTCACCACCATTGCATTCACTGGCACTTTCTCTTCAAAAGCCCTAACATCTCGGCCGTCAATTGTTCGTCGATCATCCTCTCAAATCCTAGGGTTTTGGGTGAATAGGAAAAATATAAATCCGGCCCGTTGAAACTTCCGAGTCTCGGTTGAACCTGTTAAACCGGTCAGGCCGAGTCAGGTTTTAAAACATTGATTAATTCTAATTAATTGTGTCATAGTGCAATAATGGAACATACTTTATATAGTACAAATTTTGCACATATTTAAAACAACATTAAAGTGTGATCATCAATTGCAATATGAAACTTTTATAACATCAACAATTAAACCCAAAATTTTATGTCAAAATAAATGGTACCATAAATAGTACATCAAAAGTTCAAGTTTCACATTCATAAATTTCATGTTAAATAAGAATATAATTTTTTTTTCCTACTCTAGACTAAAAACCATTTTAATACTTAATAAAATGAGAACTAATAACATCAATATAAAATACAAAATCGAATTCTAATATAAAACTAATACTAAATATATAAATTTTTTAGCATGTATCTTAAGATGAACTCCTAAAATTATTTTAATACGAATGTATGTATGTAATCACATATTATATTAATAATATTAAAAAACCCATATTAAAAAACCTTAAAAACAATATGTTAACATCTATAATTTATCGTTTCAAAACTTCAAACTATAAAAATAGTGATAAAAAACAATCTCCAAAATAAAATCATTATAATTTTTCTTAATAAACCATATCAATACAATCATAATTTTTTTTTGTACGAAACTATATCAATACGACCGTATATGAGTAATCACCTATTATATTAATAATATTAACAAACTCACGTATAGAAAAAACCTTAAAAACTTTATGTTAACACCTATAACTTACCGTTTTAAAACTTCAAACTATAAAAATCGTGATAAAAAACAATCTTCAAAACAAATTTATTATAATTTCTCTTAATAAACTATATCAATACGATCATATCTCAATACCTATTATTTCATTAATATAGTATTAACAAACTCAAATGTTAAAAAACCTTAAAATTACTATATTAATATCTATAATTCATCATTTCAATTTTTTTAAAATATTTTATCAAATGAAATTTAAGAAAATCGTGATAAAACTTAAAAGCTGGAAATTTATAATATAAAAAATAAAATAAAAAAAAATAAAAAATTGAAGCAACCGTCGGTGCAATCTTACCACACACAAAAACAATTTGGTTTGGTACATACGAGGCAAATCACTTACTCTTTTGGTATTAAAGAAAACAAAATCTCGCAACAAAATCACAAAGCACAACACAAACGCATCCACCACCTTGAGACGCAGCAAGAGAGATTAGCGACGTGGGTATTGGGATCTAGATCCGTTTCCAAGGCATGGCGGGTCCAAGACGAGAAGTCGTATGGATCTTTCTGTCCGCTGTACTTCTTCTTCTCTTTGTTCGTTCTTCTCACTGCTTCTATCTCCCCGGCGTCGCTCCTCGTGATTTCCAGAAGGTACGTTTGAATTTTGATGCATTTAGGCATGTGTGTTTTTGCATGTTGGAGTTGAAGTAAGAATCTTGAGTAAAATCGGTTCTGGGTTTTTGTCTAGATCCGTGTATTTGATGATTTAATTATGTGGGTTTTGTTGGGATCGGGGAATTTGAGCGGAAATTTCAATGGTTTGATTTGTTTTTAAGCTTATTGTTATTTTTTTTCGATGTTAAAGGATTTAAAATTTTCTCATTTTCTGCTTAAAATTTGTGATTACTGAAGAAATGGTTACCCTTTTGCGTGTTTTGATTGTAATTGGGCATGGGGAGGAAATTTTTCTATGTTATGTAAATTGTTAACTTTAGTTTGAGTAGAGTTTATCTGAGAACTGGCCATTTTTGTTAGATTGTGTTTCCGTTTGATTGTTTTTTGGACTTTAGTGGTGTAAAGGACATTTTTTTGGAGGTAATTTTTGGGTGGATAGAAAGGCTTGCAAGTTGGAGTTTTTTTGAATTTTTGATCTTGGCTTAGTATTTTTAAGAAAATGTCATCAGTTTCTTGGATCTGTAAGTTTAGATATTTTAATGCGGAGATCTGCTTTAGAGAAAATGTAATTATGTGTAGTTTAGGTGTTGAATTGCCCCAACATGTGCTGAATTGCCTCAAATCTGTGCATTAAGCGGACAATAGCTAATCCGCTGCAAATCTGCGGGTTCAGTCTTGTGGAGTCGGGATAGTGCATTTTTATTGGTTTTAATAGCAACTTTTGGCAGATCCATCCCAAATCTATAGGTTTATACTTTTGGAGTGGGGATTGTTTGTATTTCTACTGGTTTTGATGGCAATTATGGATTCTGAAAGTAGATGGTTGCTTTGGAGTTGTAGATCTTTTTGGGGTCACAGATTAAGTTGTTCACCATCGAAAAACCAATATATATTAGTGTTTATGTTAAGATTAATAGTTTTTTTAACTCCTTACACTCACATTTATAAAGACACAGTATATTACATTGCGCTATAATAGTTTGATGCCCTTTTGTGATTGCTGCTTTAGTTACCTGGTGCATACCTACATTGAACTATAGTGGATGCCTAAAGCTTCAAACCATTTCAATATGTGATTTATATATGATAACTTAGCACCATGTCTTATTTGTTCATAAATTTTTTGTCCATTGTTGCAGGGGGATGAGTTAAAGGTGAAAGTGAACAAACTCACATCCACAAAAACACAGCTTCCTTATTCCTACTATTCCCTACCTTACTGTCGTCCTGAGCATATTGTTGACAGTGCTGAGAATCTTGGGGAAGTTCTTCGTGGTGATCGCATTGAAAAATCTCCTTATGTGGTAAGTTAGATTTCTTAAATCAATTACTTCTCCTGTCTTTGGCTTTCCCTTTTTGCTTATGAGTGGTTGTCAAAAATTGTTTTTTTTTTTTTTTGCAGTTTAAAATGAGAGAACCGCAAATGTGCAATGTTGTATGTCGTGTAACACTTAATAAGAAAACTGCAAAGGAGTTCAAAGAAAAGATAAATGATGAGTACCGGGTGAACATGTGCGTCATTTGTTCAATAACTTCTACATTTTACTTTTATTCTTCTGTATATAGCAAACAAGTATGATGTTTATGCCATACTTGGCTGATATATGATGTATATCTGTTAGGATCTTGGATAACCTTCCTCTGGTGGTTCCTATACGAAGACCTGATCAGGAAAATACCATTGTGTATCAACAAGGATTCCATGTTGGTCTCCGAGGACAATATGCCGGGGTAAGTGTTAGAGCAATCACCATCCACTTTGTATTGTAACCAAAACTTCATTGAATAATTTGTTTGTATTTGTAATTAATTGTTTTCAGAGTAAGGAAGAAAAGCATTTTATCCACAATCACTTGACATTCACTGTCAAATATCACAAAGATGCTCAGGCAGACACTTCCAGAATTGTAGGATTTGAGGTAAAACCATTCAGGTTGTATTTTATGGTTCTTTCTTACCTTATTTTTGGTGCAATATAAGTTTATATCTCTGTATTGATACCGACAAATTTTGTGAATCCAGTGTTAAACATGAGTATGAAGGTGAGTGGAATGAGAAGACTCGGTTAACAACCTGTGATCCCCATGCAAAAAGAGCTGTTACCAACTCTGAATCTCCGCAAGAAGTTGATGATGAGAAGGAAATTATATTTACATATGATGTCGAGTTCCAGGTTCGGCCTTATACCTATTAGTATAGAGAGATCATGAGCTTGGTTGCATATATCAGTTGAAATTGCTATGTGTTTCTTTTATAATTTATACCTTTCATTTCACTTTGCAGGAAAGTGATGTGAAGTGGGCATCTCGGTGGGATACATATCTTCTGATGGCTGATGATCAGATTCACTGGTTCTCAATTGTTAATTCTTTGATGATTGTTATTTTCCTCTCGGGAATGGTTGCTATGATAATGTTACGCACACTCTACCGGGATATCTCCAAGTACAACCAGTTGGAAACTCAGGAAGAAGCCCAGGAAGAGACAGGCTGGAAATTGGTTCATGGAGATGTTTTCAGGCCTCCATCAAACCCAGACTTACTTTGTGTATATGTTGGGACAGGCGTTCAGTTCTTTGGAATGTTTCTTGTCACTATGATCTTTGCTGTCCTTGGGTTCCTTTCTCCTTCAAACAGAGGTGGGTTGATGACAGTCATGCTCCTGCTTTGGATCTTTATGGGTTTATTTGCTGGATATGCTTCTGCTCGTCTTTATAAGATGTTCAAGGGAACAGAATGGAAGAAAATCACTTTGAAAACAGCTTTCATGTTCCCTGCAACTTGCTTTGCCATTTTCTTTGTCCTGAATGCTTTAATATGGGGCGAGCAATCCTCTGGTGCAGTGCCATTTGGAACCATGTTTGCTCTTGTATTTTTATGGTTCGGCATCTCAGTCCCACTTGTCTTTGTGGGTAGTTATGTTGGCTTTAGGAAGCCAGCATTGGAGGATCCTGTGAAAACTAACAAGATCCCAAGGCAGATCCCAGAGCAGCCCTGGTACATGAACCCGATCTTCTCTATCCTCATCGGAGGCATTCTTCCGTTTGGAGCCATCTTCATTGAGCTCTTTTTCATTCTCACCTCAATATGGCTGCATCAGTTCTACTACATATTCGGTTTCCTCTTCATCGTCTTTGTCATTCTCATTGTCACCTGTGCCGAGATCACCATTGTTCTCTGCTACTTCCAGCTCTGCAGTGAGGATTACCTCTGGTGGTGGAGATCATACCTCACTTCTGGTTCCTCAGCATTCTATCTCTTCCTCTATGCAGCTTTCTACTTCTTCACAAAGCTCGAGATCACCAAGCCAGTTTCCGGGATGTTGTACTTCGGTTATATGCTGATCGTCTCCTACGCCTTCTTCGTGCTTACCGGTACAATTGGTTTCTATGCGTGCTTTTGGTTCACAAGGCTGATCTACTCATCAGTTAAGATTGATTGATTGATTCACCAGTTGCTGCGACTGAACAAGTAGTAGCTGGCATATTTTCACAAAATGAAGCGCAAATTATTTCCCAGTGAAAATCTGGGGTAACCTCAAAATTAGTGAATTTGGATTCAGTTTTGAACCATAAAACCCGATAGAGATTGTTATTCTTAGTCTTCTTCTTCTTCTTGATACAGGGTTCATTGGCAGTTCTAGTTCTTTTTTTTTTTTTTTTTACCTTAATTTTTTTTTTCTTCACTGTTTTGTATGAGACTTGTTAGAGGATTCTTAATCGGTTTTTGTGTCATTAATGTTTATTCTATAAAGGAGAAAAAGGAATTCTTGTATTGAAATTACTTTCCCTGTATCTTTAACAAATGTGTTCTGTAGCTATCAAGTCTTTGCTTCCATTGAGAAATGAAATAGTTAGATAAATTCAATTCATACTTGAGAGGATTATTATGTGGTCTATATTTGTACACGTGTACATATATTTACAGGCATAGCACAAAACGATATGTAATGTGAGATTGGTTTCGCCTATTGGGAGATTTTTTCTTGTACTTTGCCTTTGATAAAACTTCATTATCATCAATCTCCATCAAGCTCGAATAATTCTACTATCCGTAAAATCTCAGCGCCACCCTTATCTGAAGGCCATAGTCTTCTGGTTCTATCTACTGCAATTTGTTTTCAGCATTTCATAAAACTTCCCTTTGTTATAGTTCATAAATCTCTATCAAAGTTTCATTCTTATCTTTTTTAAGCTATATATTCAGTCTGCAGGGGAAGATTCACGTGAAGGAGATTCAAGATTTTATCATAAATGGAAATTCAGGTGAAGGAGACAAGTGTTGTACACCCAGCTCAAGAAACGCCCAGCCACTCTCTATGGATCTCAAACTTGGACATTTTGAACGCACAATTTGGTCAGGTGCCTATGATGTACTTCTACCGGCGGCCGCCGCAGCCGGCGTCTGATAGATCCGATTTCTTTGACAGTTCTCTGCTTAAGGAGAGTTTGAGCAAAGCTCTTGTGGCGTTCTACCCTTTGGCTGGGAGGTTGGGAAGAGATGAAAATGGGAGGCTGCAGATTGATTGTAATGGAGAGGGAGTCCTGTTCATGGAGGCTGAAACAAGTTGTGCTATTGAAGATGACTTCACTCCAAGTTTGAAGATGAAGCAGCTCGTTCCAGCCATTGATTATTCAACAGGCGATATCTCTTTTCATCCACTGCTTCTGTTACAGGTACGATCACAATAAATATATATTCGGTAATTCTCAAGTCTGTTTATTCTTCTCAATATATATTATGTAATTTATGATTCTAGGTAACTTATTTCAAGTGCGGAGGAATTTGTGTTGGGATTGGGTGGCATCATATTTTGGGAGATGGAGTTTCTGCATTTCATTTTATCAAATCATGGGCTGAAATAACTTGTGGCTTGCCTATTAGCATTCCACCTTCCATTGACCGAACCATCCTTCATGCAAGGATCCCATCTCATCCTACATTTAACCACAGTGAATACCATCCCCCTCCTCCCATGGATATTCTTGAATCACAATCAAGTCCTAGACCCACTTCCATGGCGAGATTTCGTTTATCTCTTGATCAAATCAATGCTTTTAAAGCAAAACTAAAAAATGAGCATGGAACCATGTATAGCACTTTTGTGATTCTAGCAGCACATGTATGGTGTTGTGTGTGCAAGGCACGTGGGTTGTCTGCGAATCAATCAACCAAACTATACATACCAATAGAAGGACGATTAAGATTGAATCCTCCACTACCATTGGGGCATCTCGGAAATGTGGTATTTACTGCTACATCGATTGCCTTGGCAAGTGATATTCAATCAAAACCTTTGATTTATACTGTGAAGATTATTCATGAAACGTTAAAACGGATGAATGATGAGTATTTAAGGTCAACATTAGCTTATGTGGAACAACATTATAATGATCTGATGACTATTAAACAAAGAGTTCCTAGAAGTAGTTGTTGTCCTAACTTAAGGATAGTGAGTTGGGCCCGAATGCCCATATATGATGCAGATTTTGGATGGGGCAGCCCAATTTTTATGAGCCGGACTATTGTTTCTTATGAAGGATCTTCGTTTATCTTGCCAAGTCCATCTAATGAAAGGAGTTTGTTTTTGATTATATGCTTGGAGAGTCCTCACATGGAGCTCTTCAAGAAGTTGTTATACACTGAGGGAGTTGCCCCAATGAAAAAATATTATAAGCCTAGCTCTTTATGAAAAAATAAAAATAAAATAATATCTTCTTTTGTAGTTCAACACATCTATATCTATGTTTTTTCTCATTCTTCTTCTTTGAAAAATGTCATGAATCTGTACTTAAGCTGATCACTACCACCCCATTCCAAGTACTTAAGCTGCCAAGATCACAACCTCATCAAAACCTCCGTTCCACACACCAAAGCAACAAAGAAAACCACCATAGCACCACTATGTCGACAAACCATCATTAAATCTAGAGTAATGTTACAACCACAATCCGTTCTCACAAATTTTCTCTCACAACCCTGATGTAACAGCTCGTCATTGGTCAACTTGTAAAATGGGTCATGTCTGTTCATTTGCGAGCTAACTAATGATGAACTGTCATGTTGAGAGTGTGAGAGAATGTTGTAAACATAGCATTTTCCTTAAATCTAACACGCAAACTACCAAGAAGCAAGAACAACGCTAATGTGCACCACCACATCAACAAACTATCAAAAAAATAAGAGACCTTGAGCCATACGGCACCAACACTCCAAAACGGCTAAGATAATGTCCCATAGGTTTAGGGTTATTATCTAAGACCTCTCCTGAGGTTTCAAGAAACATTGCAACATGATCATGATCAAACGACTCTTAAGCAAGGAGCCCCTACGTGCAAGTCTCCTAACCTTAGGATACTGAGTTGGCTCCGAATGCCTGTATATGGTAGGGATTTTGGATCAGGAAACCTATCCCTTTTAAAGGGGTATCATACGTTTTGCCAAGCCCGTCCAACGAAAGGAGTTTATCGTTGATCATATGCTTAGAAAGCCATCACATGCAGTTGTTCAAGATGTTATTTTACAATGTTTGAAGTTGTCAATTGATAAACAATGATAGAGTAATGTTACACTTATAAAGAAATCTTACAAAAATCTTCATACAAAATGATGTGACAAAAAATAAATGGAAAAGTAAATATAATGAGTTTGACTTTTTGTTTCACTCTTCCATTCACTTTTTGTCACCTCACTTTATATAAAAATATTTATAAGTTTAGTATTATTGATAATTATAAACTTAGCTCCTCTGAAAGTGAGATGATACAATATGCAATATGTTGACTAATACAAACAATTCTTTTATTGCACTGTTTATTTATATTTATTGATTATTTATTAAATTGACCATTTATATGTACTTGTTAATTTTTGAATCTATTATCTTAAAAAGTATTTTAAAACAAAAATGTGGATTGAATTGAAGAAAAGAAAAAATAGCCGATTTCGCTTGGTGTAGTAGCTACATGGTGGGGTGGGAAGGTGGGGTAACGCAATAATAAGGTTGTGGTTTTTTTTTTTTTCCAAAACTCTAGGTGGCTAATTGATCTTTTCCCAAAAGAAGAAAGGGGAAGTCCACAAAATACCACTTCTCCAAAGAGCAGGAAGAAGAAGAAGAAGAAGAGAAGAGAGAAGCTATTCAGTTTGGTTTCAGTCTCGTTTTTGATTTTGTAACTTTGAGATTTAATTTTATCAGGATTGAGGTAAGGTTTTAAATTCTGTAAAATTTATGTTGGGTTTAAGAAGCCAGCATTGGAGGATCCTGTGAAAACTAACAAGATCCCAAGGCAGATCCCAGAGCAGCCCTGGTACATGACCCCGGTCTTCTCTATCCTCATCGGAGGCATTCTTCCGTTTGGAGCCATCTTCATTGAGGTCTTTTTCATTCTCACCTCAATATGGCTGCATCAGTTCTACTACATATTCGGTTTCTTCTTCATCGTCTTTGCCATTCTCATTGTCACCTGTGCCCCAGCTCTGCAGTGAGGATTACCTCTGGTGGGGGTGATCATACCTCACTTCAGGTTCTTCAGCATTCTATCTCTTCCTCTATGCAGCTTTCTACTTCTTCGCGAAGCTCGATATCACCAAGCCAATTTCCGGGATCTTGTACTTCGGTTATATGCTGATCGTCTCCTACGCCTTCTTCTTGCTTACCGGTACGATCGGTTTCTACGCGGCTGATCTACTCGTCAGTTAAGATTGATTGATTGATTCACCAGTTGCTGCGACTGAAAAAATAGTAGCTGGCATATTTCTACAAAATGAAGCACAAATTATTTCCCAGTGAATATTTGGGGTGCCCTCAAAATTCCAGAGTGAATTTGGATTCAGTTTTGAATCATAAAACCCCATAGAGATTGTTATTAGTCGTCTTCTTCTTCTTCTTCTTGACACAGGGTTCAATGGCAGTTCCAGTTCTTTTTTTTTTTCCTGTTAATTGTTCTTTTCTTTACCGTTTTGTATGAGACTTGTTAAGAGGATTCTATTAAGGAGAAAAAGGAATTCTTGTATTGAAATTACTTACCCTGTCTCTTTAACAAATGTTGTCTGCAGGCAGGCACCTGCCTAGGGCCCCCAAAAATAGGGCCCAAAGTTTTTATAATTTTTTTAATGTATTACAAAAAAAAAAAAAAAAAATGATAATAAAAAAAAAAAAAAAAAAAAAAAAAAAAAAAAAAAAGCCGTAAAAATCCAAATTTATTATAAACTTTTTACATATATTCTCACTCAAAGTTTGACGAAACAGTAAGTTTGTACATCTAGTTTCACATATTCTAATTTACACTCCTAAATTAACACATTGAATTTCTTTTAACAATAAAAGACTAAAATAATCATTTACATGTCTCAAATTATTCAACCCCAATTCTATTTCAAAATTTGACATTCACGTAAATCATTTTCACCGCTCTTCCGTCACCAGTCGTTTGGAGTTGATTCTAATCAATTTGCTCACCAAAATTGACCGGAATCATTACTTTATCATTTCTCTAGTGTTTTTTTAGCCTTGATAGCCCTCGATTTGGCCTATTTTTTACGAATCTCATAACCCAACTCCACTGCACATGACACCCATTTTTGGCCTGTTCAGCATGTACCTGGTGTTGTTGGTCTTCCCCGATGCCACCATCTTCCTCCCCTCAACCCTCTCACCAAAATCCCTATCATACCTCATCCGTTAACTCTGTCAATCGCCGGCCATCAATACCTTTTGAGCTGCGACTTCTCAAGCCTTTTCTGGCTAATCTGGGTATTGGAAATTACCTATTTCACCACCCATCGCTTCTCTAACATCTGCTCTTCAAAACCCCTCACCAACCTAACCCAGTTAGCTTGTCGATCGCCATCCACCTCTCCTAGTGATTTTGCATCTCAAAAGACAAGAAAATAATTTTTGAAATAATTTTTTTAATATATATTTATATTATTAGAAGGCTCATAAAGTAACTTTTGTCTAGGATCACAAATATTATTGAGACGGCCTTATTATCTGTACAGCTGTACCGATCAAGTCTTTTCTGCCATGCACTGAGAAAAATAATAGAAAAATTCAATTCATACTTGAGAAGATTATTATGTGTCCTATATATATACGTACATGTGTACATATATGATATCATTGACGTGATATCCCCAACACTTGTACTTTGACAAAACTTCATTATCATTAATCACCAACAAGCTCCAATAATTCTAGCATCCTTATCTTTTATTTCAACTTCATTAAGCACTTAATTTGATTTAACTTTATCTGAAGGCCAAAGTCTTCGGATTCTCTCAACTGCAATTTGTATTCTGCAATTCGTAGAACTTATTAGGTTTTACTCACCCAAAATAAGTATCAAAATTTCTTATTAATTAGTCCATACTTTTCAGATTGTTAGCTTTATATAATTATATATATGGAGATTCATGTAAAGAAGGTAAGTGTTGTACACCCAGCCCAAGAAACGCCCAGCCACTCTCTATGGATCTCAAACTTGGACCTTTTCAACGCACAATTTGGTCAGGTGCCTATGGTGTACTTCTACAGGCGGCCGCCGCAGCCGGCGTCTGATAGATCTGATTTCTTTGACAGTTCTCTGCTTAAGGAGTCTTTGAGCAAAGCTCTTGTGGCGTTCTACCCTTTGGCTGGAAGGTTGGGAAGAGATGGAAATGGGAGGCTGCAGATTGATTGTAATGGAGAGGGAGTCTTGTTCATAGAGGCTGAAACAAGTTGTGCTATGGAAGATGACTTCACTCCAAGTTTGAAGATGAAGCAGCTGGTTCCAGCCATTGATTATTCAACAGGCGATATCTCTTTTCATCCACTGCTTCTGTTACAGGTACGATCACAATAAATATATATTCGGTAATTCTTAAGTCTGTTTATTCTTCTCAATATATATTATGTAATTTATGATTCTAGGTAACTTATTTCAAGTGCGGAGGAATTTGTGTTGGGATTGGGTGGCATCATATTTTGGGAGATGGAGTTTCTGCATTTCATTTTATCAAATCATGGGCTGAAATAACTTGTGGCTTCCCTATTAGCATTCCACCCTCCATTGATCGAACCATACTACATGCAAGGATCCCATCTCATCCTACATTTAACCACAGTGAATACCATCCCCCTCCTCCCATGGATATTCTTGAATCACAATCAAGTCCTAGACCCACTTCCATGGCGAAATTTCGTTTATCACTTGATCAAATCAATTCTTTTAGAGCAAAACTAAAAAATGAGGATGGAGCCAGGTATAGCACTTTTGTGATTTTAGCAGCACATATATGGCGTTGTGTGTGCAAGGCACGTGGATTGCCTGGGAGTCAATTAACCAAACTACACATACCAACAGAAGGACGAGCAAGATTGGATCCTCCACTACCATTGGGGTATTTCGGGAATGTGGTATTTACTGCTATACCGATGGCCTTGGCAAGTGATATTCAATCAAAACCGTTGATTTACACTGTAAAGATTATTCATGAAGCGTTAAAACAGATGAACGATGAGTATTTGAGGTCGACATTAGCTTATGTGGAACAATATTATAATGATCGGACGAGTCTCAAACAAGGAGTTTTTAGTAGTAATTGTCCTAGCCTAAAGATAATAAGTTGGGCCCGAATGCCCATATATGATACGGATTTTGGATGGGGCAATCCTTTTTTCATGAGTCGGGCTATTGTCCCTTCTGAAGGAGCTTCGCTTATCCTGCCGAACCCATCTAATGAAAGAAATTTATCTTTCATTATATGCTTGGAGACTCCTCACATGGAACTATTCAAGAAGTTGTTATACACGGAGGGAGATGCCCCCGTGAAAAAATATTATAAGCATAGTTCTTTATGAAAGAATAAAAATAAAAATAAAATAACATCTTCTTTTATTCTTATTTACCGTTCATCTATATTTATTGATTATTGATTAAATCAACCATATATATGTAATGTTTATTAAATTTTTTATCTATTATCTTACAAAGTATTTTAAAACAGAAGCGTGATTGAATTGAAAAAAATAAAGAAAAAATAGCCGATTTGGCTACTACATGTGGGGTGACGAAATAATGAGGTTGGGGAGAAAGCGCCGTGATATATGATAATATGAGGCGGTGGTGCCGTGGTGGGGGTTTATTGTTCTTTTTTCAAACATTAAGGGGGGCAATTGATCTTTTTACAAAAGAAAAAGGGAAGAGTGTGATAAAATACCATTTGTCCAAAGAGGAAGCAGAAGAGAAAGGGAGAAGCTGTTCAGCTTGGTTCAGTCTCGGTTTTGATACTGTAACTTTGAGATTTAATTTTATCAAGATTGAGGTAAGGGTTTAGATTCTGTAAAATTTGTTAAAGCTCTTTATGGAAAATTACTTCAACTTTGGAGCACTTACTAATTTTTCATGATCAAAACCAGTGGGAGAAAATTCAAGATTTTCTCATAAATGGAGATCCACGTAAAGAAGACAAGTGTTGTACGCCCCGCTCAACAAACGCCAAGCCATTCTCTATGGATCTCAAACTTGGATCTGCTGAACGCACACTTCGGTCAGGTGCCTCTGGTGTACTTCTACCGGCGGCCGGCGGTGTCTGAAAGATCCGATTTCTTTGACACTTCACTGCTTAAGGAGGCTTTGAGCAAGCGCTGGGCGTTCGACCCTTTGGCTGGAAGGCTGAAAAGGACGAAAATGGGAGGCTGCAGATTGAGTGTAATGCAGAGAAGAGTTTTGTTATGGAGGCTGAAACAAGTTGTGTTGTTGATGATGAGTTTGGTGATGATAACTTCACCCCAAGCTTGGATGAGGCAGCTCGTTCCAAGTTTGATTATTCATCTACAAATTCTCATCTTCTCCGCTGCTAGTGTCACAGGTAAACTTTAATATGAACTACTCCACTCTTATTGAAAGTAATACATTTGAACTGTTTTAGTTTTGCTATATCTCATAGTTTAACATGAGTAAACGACATATTCCCACCCAAGGTTTGACGAAAAGTTAGTACCAGAGTTATTTATCTAGATTCTCACCCTTAAGTGACGGAAAAATGTTTGATGTAACGGTAAATGAGTAAATTGGTCATTTTCAATGGGGACGCATGTTAGCAGACCACTGCCTCTAATAGTCCTCCGGTGCACATTAGCAGCCGTCATCCGACTTTTTTTGCTCTTTTTTGGCGATTTTCCACCCAATCACCCTTGTCACCACCGTTTAAACCCTATCATTCCCTCTACAAAACCCATACCATTCACAACCCCTCATCACTCGCCGATCGCCGGCCACAGCATCAAAAAAAGGATGAACACGAAATCTGGCCGGGAAAATGACGATGAAACGGTTGCTGGGGAATAGGGTTTTTATAGATTTGGAGACGGTGGTTGCATTGGTGGTGTCCAGTTGGATTTTTGCCACCGGAACCGACCGGAATCAGGTGAAGAACACCGAAACCCTAAGCCCAAGCCCAAGAGCAGCGGCAAGTGAGGGGCAATGTTGGAACCAGAGGGGTTTTGGACGACGGACTACAGGGAAGGTGATGGAGGTGACCAAGGGGTTCGACGTCACCGGAAACAGCCTAGATTGGGCTATTTCCGACGAGGGTGTTAGTGACGAGGTGTGTTTTGATATAATTTGAAAATAAAATGGTACGTTATAATTCTACTAATTAGGGGCCAAAACATAATTTATAATTTAGGGTTAAAGGCATTATGGTATTTGTACCCTTTAAACCTAAAAATTCATAATACTATTACTTTAAGGGTAGAAATCTGAAATAAATAGAACCAATGATATTAAATTCGGATTTCATCACCTGGGTGGGAACATGTCGTTTTTTTCGTTAAAATTTAATAAATGCCCTGTCTATGTTCAATGTTTTCTATTACTTTATTTAGTGCTATGACTTAATAGTCCATGCCAATATTTAGTCCAATATTAAATGTATCATCCGAAGATGTACCCCACCATCATATAATATAGTTATATAATAAAACAAGCAACTTTTCAAATTTTATTTGTTTCACCCATTAAAAATGTATTTGTACATTTGGCCCCTTAGTTTAATAAACTTTACACCTTAACCCACCCTTGGGTAGCTCAAATGGTAGGATGAGCACTGAGATATGTGGGTCTCAGGTTTGAATCCACGGCTCCTAAGATTTAAGTAGGTGATCATGATGGTGGGTGTCTTGCTAATCACCTTTAAGGATTAGTCGAGGTGCGTGCAAGCTGGTCCGGATATCCTGTTTAAAAGAAGAAGAAAAAAGCTTTACACCTTAGCCTCCCAAACATAATTTTTTCGTTCCGTCAGGATTACAAATTAATGTTCTAATTAGAGTCTATATAAGTTTTTATTATTATATATATGTAATTGATCATACTTTAATGGTAGGTAACTATTTCAAGTTGGAGGGGTTTGGCTTGGCGTTGGATTGCATCATATATTGGGAGATGGAACTTTTGGATTGAATTTCATCAAATCATGGGTTGGATATCATCTGGTTTTTTATTAGTAACCCACCCTTATTGATCGAACCATACTAAAATCTAGAACCCCACCATCCCACATTCGATCACATCAAATACCACCCACCTCCTCAGTTACAATCCGGTGTTTACCCACTTCCAATGACTAGAGTGAACTATCACTTGATAGAATCAGCTTCCTTAAAACAAAATTAAGAAAGATCAAGAAGTCACATATTCCACTTATGAAATTCTAGCAGCACATGTTTGGGTTGCTTATGCAAAGCTCGTGGTTTGCCTAATGATCAAGCAACTAAGTTGTACATACCCACAAATGGACGGTGAGTCGTTCAATCCTCACTCCCATTGGGGTATCTGGATGTCATATTTGCTGCCACACCGATTGTGGCAGATGATATTCGATCCAAATCGGTGATTTACGTTGTGAAGATATTCATGAAGCTTAAGCGAATGGATGAAGCAGTACTTGAGATCAGCATTAGCTTACGTTGAAAAATACAATTACTCATACGTCTTCAAACAAGGAGCCCCCAGTTGCAATTCTCCTACCTAAGGATAGTGAGTTGGGGTGGAATGCCTATATGTGATACGAATTTGGATGGGGCAGTCCAATCTATATGGGCCGGGCGATTGTTCCATTGAAGGGCAATCATTTATCTTGCCAAGGCCATCAAATGAAAGGAGTTCTCTTTAATTATACGCTGGAGACTCGTCACATAGAGCTCTCAAGATTTCTTTTATAGTGAAGGAGTTGGCTCCATAAAAAATATTATAAGCTATTATGTTATAAAAATAAAAAATAATTAAAATTTAGGAGCGAATTGTTATCCTTTTAAGATTGTAAGCATACCCTGATGAAAATATCTTCTTTTGGTACTCTATATTTTTTTTCACGGAGGCTGAAACAGGTTTTTTTTATTGATAAATAGTTTGATGATCACATAGGTCATGAATCACTTCCATGTAGACTTAGCTTATCAATTGATCATATCAATCCTTAAATCAAAATTAAAGAAAGATGCACGTGTCGATTTTGTAGCACATGTATGTTACTCGATGATCAAACAATTAAATTACAATACCTATAAATGACGATCAAGATTAAATCCTCCACTACAATTGAGTATCTCGAATATGACATTTATTGCTATACCAATTGGCTTAGTAGGTGATAATCAAATTGCTGATTTACAAAAAATTATTAAAGCATTAAAGCGATGATGATGAGTATTTGAGATCGACGTAACTTGTATGGAACAATATTACCACGGTATGATTGACTCTTAAAAAAGGAACCCATAGTTACAATTATCCCAACCTAAAGATAGCGATACGCCGAAATGCTAGTATGATATAAATTTGGATGGGACCGCCCAATATTATGGCCGGGCTATTGTTCCATTTGAGGGCAATCATTATTTTTGACAAGCCCGTCAAAAGGAAGAAGTTTGTTTTGATTTTTTTTTTTAATAAATAAACGAAATCACATGTTTCTTTCTTTTTTTATATGGAGATATGTACATCTAATAGCAAATCCAATTTTATTATTCAGTATATATACACTCTTTTTTATCTGGTTAATCCGTGACTTGGGATTTGTCAAGATGAGGTAGCTTTTAGCTCTGTACATTTTGTCAGAGATTGTGAGATATCTTCAACTTTTGAGCACGTATTAATTTTTCAGGATCAAAACCAGAATTTTTCACAAATAATGGAGATTCAGGTAAAGGGGACAACAAGCGTTGTACGCCCGATCGAGAACGCCCAAGCATGGTCTATGGATCTCTAACTTGGATCTGCTGGATATACACAAGAGCTCACATCCCTCGGTGACTTCTACCGTCGGCAACCATCGCAGACGGCAGATCGTTCCGATTTCTTTGGAAGTTGTGTGCTTAAGGAGGCTTTGAGCAAGCTCTTGTGGCGTTCTACCCTTTGGTGGGAGGTTGGGAAGGATGAAAATGGGAGGCTGCAGATTGATTGTAATGGAGAGGGAGTCTTGTTCATGGAGGCTGAAACAAGTTGTGCTATTGAAGATGATTTCACTCCAAGTTGAAGATGAGGCAGCTCGTTCCAACCATTGATTATTCGACAAGTGATATCTTTTTTTATCCATCTGCTTCTGTTACAGGTACGTACGATCCCAATATAAAAATGTTATCATGTATTGTTGATGTTTCAGTCCATTATTGTCCAAATCCCAATAGTATCACGTAATTTATGATAATAGGTAACTTATTCAAGTGCGGAGGAATTTGTCTTGTTGGGTGGCATCAATTTTGGGAGATGGAACTTCTGCTTTTCATTTCATTAAATCATGGGCTGAGATAACATCGTTCTACTTAGTGTCCACCGTTTATTGATCGAACCATACTTCCATCAGGATCCCACCTCATCCTACATTTACAACCCATTGAATACATCCCCTCCTTCCAGGATATTCTTGAATCACAGTCAACTCTAGACCCCACTTCCATGGCGAGATTCGTTTACACTTGATCAATCAATGCTTTTAAAGCTAAACTAAAAAATGAGCATGGAGCACGTATAGCACTTTGTGATTTTGACAGCACATATATGGCGATGTGTGTGCAAGGCACGACGGTTGCCTAGGAATCAATCAACCAAACATATATACCACAGAAGGACGATCAAGATTGAATCCTCACTCCATTAGGGTATCTCGGGAAGTGTATTTACTGCTCACACCAATGCCTTGGCAGGTTTATTCAGTCAAAACCGCTGATTTACACTGTGAAGATTATTCATGAAGCGTAAGCAGATGAATGATGAATATTTGAGGTCAACGTTAGCTTATGCGGAACAACATTAATAATATGATGACTCTTGAACAGGGAGTTCCCAATAATAATTGTCCTAACCTAAGGATAGTAAGTTGTGGCTCAAATGCCCATATATGATACGGATTTTGGATGGGGCACGCAATTTTATGGGCCGGGCTACTTCTGAAGGAGCTTCATTATCCTGTCAAGCCATCATCAATGAAAGGAGTTTATCTTTGATAATATGCTTAGAGACTCCCACATGGAACTCTTCAAGAAGTTGTTATACACTGAGGAGGTGCCCTCATGAAAAAATATTATAAGCCTAGCTCTTTATGAAAATAAAATAGGAGTGAATTGTTCACTCTTATTAATGTTGTAACTGGCTAGATAACATATTTTTTGTGTTTCACAATGGTTACGTTTTCCTTGTTTTCTTCTTTGAAAATGTCATGAATCGTGCCTCCGTATTTGGAACACATAATACACAGAGTTTTAATGTTAGAGTATTTAGACTCATATATAACACACGAGGTTCCTGAATAAGCTAGTCATTCAGCCATATATAATCTTAAGTGGAGCTAGACATTACTATTTCATTAGGGCTTTTATTATATGTCTTAACACAATTTACTCTTGATCGTTAAATTAAACACCAAAACCTTCCAATATGGCGATGATAAAAGATAAATTGTTATTTCAGGTATTTAGGGACAAAGTGTTAATTGATACCATAGGAGGGAATTAACAGTTGACTTAGGATTTGGAGAACCATTATCTTATTGGAATTTCATAATGCTGAAAATCTACTTTGGAACAAATTAATGATTTCTAATTTGACAAACAAATATGTGTACGTACTCAAAATTTTTAATGTATGTATTACTTTTCAAACCTTTGATACGTGTAGGTGCAAAAAATCTGCCGTCATGAAAATAGGGTCTGACGTGATATAGATGGGTACGACAATCGCTAGACCTGCACACATGAAGGTAAGCGTGAAGCTCGGAAACACCGGGGTGGTGTTGCCGTAGGCACTCCCGACGTCAGTCAGCGAGGCTAAAGAGATTTAATAGAATTAAGGGAAGAAGAATTACCAGGAGTCTTGTCGGAGGCTAGGACTACGGCGGAGGCGTCGGGTTTTTGGAGCAAGAACTTATGAGCAATAGATGTTTGAGTAGTGTCCTCCGACTGTGGGAGATTGCCCATTTTTATAGTGACACAAGGGGTTAGAATCCTAGTAGGACATTAGTCCTCTTTTGGGAGATAATCCCTATCAGAAAGAAATATGATTTCTTGACTTATCAGATTAAGTTTAATAGTTTGAGGAAAATTTGAAATCTTAGTGAAGAGGAAATAGAATGGGATTTTGATTTCCTATTTATAGACTGTTGCAGGCTAATGGGGGAAACTCAGTTTAACTTAACTTATAGGATAGCCCAACTCATAGAATAGGGTCGCCAAGGGTTAAGCGTAGGCCCAATCGGGATTTGGGTTGAGCGCCTTGGGTCATGACATGTTTATTTAGTTATGGGCCTAGTCAAGCCCAAGACGATTTTGGCCCTAACAATACGTTTATTATTTTTGTGAACCATAAGGATTAACGCTTATCCATATAGTATTATATATATACTATACATAATATTATATTATATATATAAGTATATATAATATATATATATATAATATATATATATATGAATGTTAGGAAGGGTTGATATATATAGTTTTATAACATGTAAAACATGTGTTGACATATTTTTAAAGGAATTAAATTTTCAGCTCTAAATTTGTACCAACGGGTTGGGCCGATGATGTCATTATAATGATGTCAGCTAAAATCCAAATGACATCGTTTCAAAGAGGGTATTATTGACTTTTTAAAACTTATAAAGAAAACCCTAAATTCCTTACTTTTATTCATTTTTCCCATTTCTTTCTCTCTTCCTCTACCGTCTCCCTTTCTTCTCTCCCTTGCATCCTTTTTCGATCTATCATGGTTACCGTTTGGACCTCAATGGTGTAGCCTTCATGGCTACTCTGCCACGATGTAGGCTTTGTGGCTGCTCTGCCACGGTGTAGGTTTCGTGGCTGCTAGATCTATCCACCACAGTGAAGGCTTCATGGTTGTTGGATCTATCCACCACGGTGAAGGCTTCATGGCTGTTGGATTTCCTTTTTTCCATTTCTTTTTTCTCTTCTTCTACTGTCTTGTTTCTTCTCTCCCTTGCATTTTTTTTTCGATCTACGATGGCTAGTTGGCTACCTGCGCATCTTGTTGGCTTTTTGACATCTTTACCTAAGGTTTTCTCAAAAATATTGATTGTGTTGCAATTTGTTGGTTGGACTGTTTGGTATTTGTTGTAATAATTCTTTTCCATCCAACAATCCATTAATTTAAATTTTGAAACATTGGTTGTTACTATAAAATGTTGTGATATCTTAATAGGTGTTTAAATTATGATAAAAATTGAAGATGGAGAACTGGAAATTGGAAAAGGGGAAATTGTTTTTAGGGAATTTTGGTGACTCAGTTGTGACATCGGTCCGGTTGAACCGGCGGTTTGTCACTATTCCTTCGATCCAAATCCGGTTCATTCCTGGTTAATTGGTCAAAGCGGGTTTAGAAGGTTTTTGGATCGGCGTTGATGCTGGCTCTCGGTCGAATCGGTTTGATCGATTGGTCCAATCTGGGTTTTAAAACATTGGTATATGGTAGGGATTTTGGATAAGGCAACCCATCCCTTTTAAAGGGGTATCATACGTTTTGCAAAGCCCGTCCAAAAAACGAGTTTATGGTTGATCATATGCTTAGAAAGCCATCACATGTAGCTGTTCAAGAAGTTATTTTACAATGTTGGAACTTGCCATTTGATAAATAATTATAGAATAATGTTACCTTTACAAAGAAATTTTATAAAAATCTCCATACCAAGTGATATGACAAAAAATGAATGGAAAAGTGAATATAATAAGTTTGACTTTTTGTTTCACTCTTTCATTCGTTTTTGGCCACCTCACTCTGTATGGAAATCTTTGTAAGTATAGTATTATTGATAATTATAAGCTTAACTCCTCTCAAAGTCGAGATGATACAATATGCAATACGTTGACTAATACAAACAATTCTTTTATTGCATTGTTCATTTATATTTATTGATTATTTATTAAATCAACCATTTATATGTACTTATTAATTTTTGATTCTATTATCTTAAAAAGTATTCTATAACAAAAATGTTGATTGAATTGAAAAAAAAAATAAAAAATAGCCGATTTGGCTTGGTGTAGTGGCTACATGGTGGGGTGGGAAGGTGGGCTGACGCAATAATGGGGGCGNGCGGTGTCTGAAAGATCCGATTTCTTTGACACTTCACTGCTTAAGGAGGCTTTGAGCAAAGCTCTTGTGGCGTTCTACCCTTTGGCTGGAAGGCTGAAAAGGGACGAAAATGGGAGGCTGCAGATTGAGTGTAATGCAGAAGGAGTTTTGTTCATGGAGGCTGAAACAAGTTGTGTTATTGATGATGAGTTTGGTGATGATAACTTCACCCCAAGCTTGAGGATGAGGCAGCTCGTTCCAAGTCTTGATTATTCATCTACAAATATCTCATCTTCTCCGCTGCTAGTGTCACAGGTAAACCTTTAATATGAACTACATCTACTCTTATTGAAAAATAAAATACATTTGAACTGTGTTAGTTTTGCTATCTCTTTACTAGTTTAACATGAGTAAACGACATATTCCCACCCAAGGTTTGACGAAAAGTTAGTACCATAGATTCTATTTATTCTAGATTCTCACCCTTAAAGTGACGGAAAAATGTTTGATGTAACGGTAAATGAGTAAATTGGTCATTTTACATGGGCGACGCATGTTAGCAGACCACTGCCTCTAATAGTCCTCCGGTGCACATTAGCAGCCGTCATTCCCGACTTTTTTTGCTCTTTTTTTGGCGATTCTTCCACCCAAAATCACCCTTGTCACCACCGTTTAAACCCCTATCATTCCCTCTACAAAACCATACCATTCACAACCCCTCATCACTCGCCGATCGCCGGCCACAGCATCAAAAAATGGCCGATGAACACGAACTCTCGGCCGGAAAATGACGATGAAACGGTTGCTGGGGAATAGGGTTTTTTATAGATTTGGAGACGGTGGTTGCATTGGTGGTGTCCAGTTGGATTTTTGCCACCGGAACCGACCGGAATCAGGTGAAGAACACCGAAACCCTAAGCCTAACGGCGCCGGCAATTGGAGGGGCAAATGAGTCAGGAACCAGAGGGGTTTTGGACGACGGACTACAGGGAAGGTGATGGAGGTGACCAAGGGGTTCGACGTCACCGGAAACAGCCTAGATTGGGCTATTTCCGACGAGGGTGTATAGTGACCGAGTGTGTTTTTGATATAATTTGAAAATAAAATGGTACGTTATAATTCTACTAATTTAGGGGCCAAAACATAATTTATTAATTTAGGGTTAAAGGCATTATGGTATTTGTACCCTTTAAACCCTAAAAATTCATAATACTATTACTTTAAGGGTAGAAATCTGAAATAAATAGAACCAATGATATTAAATTCGGATTTCATCAAACCTTGGGTGGGAACATGTCGTTTTTTTCGTTTAACATTTAATAATCTGCCTTGTCTATGTTCAATGTTTTCTATTACTTTATTTAGTGCACTATGACTTAATAGTCCATGCCAATATTATATGTCCAATATTAAATGTTATCATCTAGGAAGATGTACCCCACCCATCATATAATATAGTTATAATATAAAACAAGCAACTTTTCAAATTTTATTTGTTTCACCCATTAAAAATGTATTTGTACATTTGGCCCCTTAGTTTAATAAACTTTACACCTTAACCCACCCTTGGGTAGCTCAAATGGTAGGATGAGCACTGAGATATGTGGGTCTCAGGTTTGAATCCACTGGCTCCTAAGATTTAAGTAGGTGATCATGATGGTGGGATGCTTTGCTAATCACCTTTAAGGATTAGTCGAGGTGCGTGCAAGCTGGTCCGGATATCCTGTTTAAAAGAAGAAGAAAAAAAGCTTTACACCTTAGCCTCCCAAACATAATTTTTTCGTTCCGTCAGGATTACAAATTTAATGTTCTATATTATGAGTCTTATATAAGTTTAATATTATATATTATGTAATTGATCATTACTTTAATTGGTAGGTAACTTATTTCAAGTGTGGAGGGGTTTGTCTTGGCGTTGGATGGCATCATATATTGGGAGATGGAACTTTTGGATTGAATTTCATCAAATCATGGGTTGAGATATCATCTGGTTTTTCTATTAGTAACCCACCCTTTATTGATCGAACCATACTAAAATCTAGAACCCCACCTTATCCCACATTCGATCACATCAAATACCACCCACCTCCTCAGTTACAATCCGGTGTTTTACCCACTTCCATGACTAGAGTTGAACTATCACTTGATAGAATCAGCTTCCTTAAAACAAAATTCAAGAAAGATCAAGACGTCACATATTCCACTTATGAAATTCTAGCAGCACATGTTTGGCGTTGCTTATGCAAAGCTCGTGGTTTGCCTAATGATCAAGCAACTAAGTTGTACATACCCACAAATGGACGGTCGAGGTTCAATCCTCCACTCCCATTGGGGTATCTCGGGAATGTCATATTTGCTGCCACACCGATTGCCTTGGCAGATGATATTCGATCCAAATCGTTGATTTACGTTGTGAAGATTATTCATGAAGCATTAAAGCGAATGGATGACGAGTACTTGAGATCAGCATTAGCTTACGTTGAAAAACATTACAATGATCTAACCTGTCTCAAACAAGGAGCCCCCAGTTGCAATTCTCCTAACCTAAGGATAGTGAGTTGGGGTGGAATGCCTATATGTGATACGAATTTTGGATGGGGCAGTCCAATCTATATGGGCCGGGCGATTGTTCCATTTGAAGGGCAATCATTTATCTTGCCAAGGCCATCAAATGAAAGGAGTTTCTCTTTAATTATACGCTTGGAGACTCGTCACATAGAGCTCTTCAAGAATTTCTTTTATAGTGAAGGAGTTGGCTCCATAAAAAAATATTATAAGCCTAGTGCTTTATAAAAATAAAAAATAAATTAAAATTTAGGAGCGAATTGTTCATCTCTTTTAAGATTGTAAGCATACCCTGATGAACAATATCTTCTTTTGGTACTCTATATTTTTTTTCACGGAGGCTGAAACAGGTTTTTTTATTGATAAATAGTTTGATGAATCACAATTAGGTCATGAATCCACTTCCATTGCTAGACTTAGCTTATCAATTGATCCACAAAATCCAAATTAAACACGATTAAAACTAGCAACAAACATTTCCAAAAAACAAACATAATAAAATTAAAACTAGCAAACACATTTCCACAAACAAACATTATAATCACATTTCACAAAAAACAAAACTAGTACTAACAAGCACATTTCCAAATCAAATATGAAATGCAAACTGAGAAGATATACAAAGAAAGTTCACAAAGACAAATCTAAATATAACAAATCCACAAAAATGATTTCAAAAGAGGCCTCCAAGCAAGCAATAACTGTCCAACTGCAAGCACATTCCAATCCATTGTCAAAGTCAACTGTCAAAACAAAAAAGTTCACAACTTGTTAGATAGCTTCCATTTTAAATTTCTTCTTTTTATAGTTTGTCCAATCAAATCTAGAAATTAGTAAATAAAAGAACAAATAAAACTAAATAAAATCATAGTATATACCTGGTTATTGGAAATTTGGATTGCCCTTCAATCAATTAGTTGAGAACGAGTACTTTCTACTCTGAAAGATGGAAATTCTACAAAAAGTTGGATAAACACATAATTAAATAATTGAAAGTATAATTAACAAATCCAACACATACATAATTAATTAATTGAAAGTAAAGCAAAAATTTTACCCGACTCAATTTTCGTCAACTCATCCAAGGTGTCCTCAATAATTATTTGATTAATGAGTAATATAAAAAAAAACACATCAAAAGCTACCATACTGGCATACTGGAGCCCAAAGAAGCACTTTAACTTTAGAACTCATCAAAAGTACTAAACTTATCCACAAATAAGCACTTCTCAAATATATAATACCTCAAATGCATAAAAATAGAATTGGAAACAGATGAATGGGATTTTCAATTTTTCATATACTGTCAAAGTATATACATTATCATTCCAACACTCATATAGACAGTAGACACAAAAGGATAGCTCCCATCATCAAACATTGTAAATGCCTTAAAATTGAGTTTTTTTCTTTTAAAAAAAAATTAATTATCAGCCTGCCTCATCCCGTCAATGGTCACCAACAAAACAAAGAAAAAAAGCCAAAGAAGAAATGGTCACCCACCGGAGACAGACGATGACGTGGAGACTTGGTGAAGGAAGAAGAATGGTGACCGCGACTGGTGACTGCCGTGCCGACCGTTAAGCAACAGATCTGAGAACAACAGAATCTGAGAACTGAGAGTGAGAGACTCCGGCGTGACCGCGTGACTCCGACGTGAGAACTGACAACTGAGACAGAGACTCTGAGGTGTGAGAGAGGACTAACGGTTACTGGGGTCTGAGGTGAGTGTCTGAGTACGGCGCCGGCGCGAGTGCGTCTGAGAGCTGGTACTACCGTACTGGAGCAGTGGAGCTGTCGTCTGCTGAGCTGGAGAGTGGAGCTGCCGTCGCCGAGCTGGAGAGTGGAGCTGCCGTCTGCCAGCTGGAGAGTGGAGATTGGAGTGACTCGTACTGGAGCAGTGGAGCTGCCGTCTGCCGAGCTGGAGAGTGGAGAGTGAAGATTGGAGTAGACTCGTACTAGAGCAGTGGAGCTGCCGTCTGCCGAGCGGAGAATGGAGACTGGAGTAGACTAAGTAGTGAAGACTGATGAAGACTGAAGGTAGTGAAGTGAGTGTCTGAGACAGTGAGACTGAGTGAGATCGTGAGAGTTGAGACTGTGAGAGACTGAGAGTGTTAGATGGTGTTAGGGTTTGGAATTGCAAATGCAAAATAAAAATGTAAAAATAAAAATGCAATAATTTTTAAACATTTCGGTTCATAAAACCGGTTCTGGGTAACCGGTTTTCTTTTTTAAAAAAAACCGAAACCGAAACCGAATATCCGGTTTTTTTAATATCCGAACCGAAACCCAAAAAAAAACCGAATTTTCGGTTCGGTTTCGGTCCGGTTTCTCGGTCCGATTCGGTTTTCGGATTTTTTTTTCCACCCCTACATACGGCATCCAACACTCCAAAACGGCTAAGATAAGTGCCCATAGGTTTAGGGTTATTATCTAAGACCTCCCCTGAGGTTTCAAGAAACATTGCAACATGATCATGATCAAACGACTCTAAGCAAAAAGCCCCTACATGCAAGTTCCTAACCTTAGGATACTAAGTTGGCTCTGAATGCCTGTATATGGCACTGTTTTAAAGCGACCCGAGCCTTGACCTCGTCAAGTGCCCAAATCCCGGGTTGATGGTCCAACCGATTGGACTGGCGGGTTGGGCCGATGACGTTATATTAAGATGTCAACTAAAATCCAAATGACGCCGTTTCAAAGAGGGTTTATTGACTTTTAAAACTTATAAAGAAAACCCTAAATTCCTTACTTTATTCATTTTTCATTCCTTTTCTCTTCTACCGTCTCCCTTTCTTCTCTCCCTTGCATTTTTTTTGATCTAACATGGCTACCGGTTGGACCTCAATAGTGTAGGCTTCATGGCTGCTCCGCACGAGTGTAGATTTCGTGGCTGCTCCGCCACGGTGTAGGCTTCGTGGCTGTTGGATCTATTCGCCATGGTGAAGGCTTTGTGACTACTAGATCTATCCCGCACAGTGAAGGCTTCATCGTTGTGGATCTATCCACCATGGTGAAGGCCATGGCTGTTAGATTTCCTTTTTCCATTTCTTTTCCTCTTCTTCACCTGTCTTGTTTCTTCTCTCCTTGCATTTTTTTTTTTCGATCTACGATGGCTAGTTGGCTTGGGCATCTTGTTGGCTTTTTGACAATCTTTACCTAAGGTTTTCTGAAAATATTGACTGGTTGCAATTGTTGGTTGGACTGTTTGGTATTTGCTAAATAATTCTTTTCCATCCAACAATCCATGAATTTGAATTTTGAAACATTGACTGTTATTATAAAATGTTGTGATATGTTAATAGACGTTTAAATTATGATAAAAATTGAAGATGGAGAACTGGAAATTGGAAGAGGGGAAATTGTTTTTAGGGAATTTTGGTGACTAGTTGTGACACCGGTCTGGTTGAACTGACGGTTTGTCACTATTCCTCAGTCCAAATCTGGTTCATTCGGGTTAATTGTTAAAGGGGGGTTTAGAAGGTTTTCGGATCGGTGTTGATGCTAGCTCCCGTCGAATCGGTTTGACGGTCGGTCCGGTCTGGGTTTAAAACAGTGGTATTGGTAAGGATTTTGGATTAGGCAACCCATCCCTTTTAAAGGGGTATCATACGTTTTGCCAAGCCCATCCAAAGAAGGAGTTATCGTTGATCATATGCTTAGAAAGCCATCACATGTAGGTTCAAGAAGTTATTTTACAATGTTGGAACTTGCCAGTTGATAAATAATTATAGAATAATGTTACACTTATAAAGAAATCTTTAAAGATTCATACAAAGTGATATGACAAAAAATGAATGAAAAAGGAATATAATGAGTTTGACTTTTGTTTCACTGTTCCATTCATTTTTTGTCACCTCATTTATATGAAAAAACTTGTAAGATAATATTATTGTAATTATAAGCTTAGCCTCTCGAAGTCGAGATGATACAATATGCAATCATGACTAACACAAACAATTCTTTATTGCATTGTTCATTTATGTTTATTAAATCAACCATTTATATGTATTATTAATTTTTGAATCTATTATCTTAAAAAGTATTTTAAAACAAAAATGTGGATTGAATCAAAAAAAAAGAAAAAAAAAAAAAATAGCCGATTTGGCTTGGGTGTGGCTACATGGGGGTGGGAAGGCGGGTTGACGCAATAATAAGCGCTGTCATATTATGACGCGGTTGTGGGGTTTATGTTTTTTTTCAAAACTCTAGGTGGCTAATTGATCTTTTCCCAAAAGAAGAAAGGGAAAGTTCCACAAAATACCATTTTCCAAAGAAGGGAGGAGGAAGATGAAGAAGAAGAAGAGAAGAGAGACGTATTCAGCTTTGGTTTCAGTCTCGTTTTTGATTCCGTAACTTGCTATTTAATTTTATCAGGATGGTAAGGTTTTAAATTCAGTAAAATTATGTTGGGTTTAAGAAGCCAGCATTGGAGGATCCTGTGAAAACTATCAAGATCCCAAGGCAAATCCCAGAGCAGCCCGGTACATGAACCGATCTCTATCTCATCGGAGGCATTCTTCCGTTTGAGCCATCTTCATTGAGCTCTTTTTCATTCTCACCTCAATACGGCTGCATCAGTGCTACTACATATTCGGTTTCCTCTTCATCGTCTTTGCCATTCTCATTGTCACCTGTGCCCCAGCTCTGCAGTGAGGATTACCTCTGGTGGTGGTGATCAACTCACTTCAGGTTCTTCAGCATTCTATCTCTCTTTAGCAGCTTTCTACTTCTTCACGAAGCTCGATATCACCAAGCCAATTTCCGGGATCTTGTAATTCGGTTATATGCTGATCGTCTCCTACGCCTCTTCTTGCTTACCAGTACGATCGGTTCTACGGGCTGATCAACTCGTCAGTTAAGATTGATTGATGATTCACCAGTTGCTGCGACTGAAAAAATAGTAGCTGGCATATTTCCACAAAATGAAGCACAAATTATTTCCCAGGAATATTTGGGTGCCCTCAAAATTCCAGAGTAATTGGATTCAGTTTTGAATCATAAAACCCCTAGAAGTTGTTATAGTCTTCTTCTTCTTTTCTTCTTCTTCTTCTTGATACAGGGTTCAATGGCAGTTCCAGTTCTTTTTTTTCCTGTTAATGTTTCTTTTCTTTAGTTTTGTTGAGACTTGTTAAGAGGATTCTATAAGGAGAAAAAGGAACTCTTGTATTGAATTACTTACCTGTCCTTTAACAAATGTTGTCTGTACGCGTACCTATCAAGTCTTATCTGCCATGCACTGAGAAAAATAATAGAAAAAATTCAATCATACTTGAGAAGATTATTATGTGTCCTATATATTACATACATGTGTACATATATGATATCATTGACGTGATAGCCCAACACTTGTACCTTGACAAAACTTTATTCATAATCTCCATCAAGCTCCAATAATTTTCTTATTTTCCATTTTATCTTTTTATTTATTTATCTGGGCCAAAGTCTTCTGATTCTCTATTACTGCTATTGTATTCTGCATTTCAAAGAACTTATTAGGTTTACTCACCCAAAATACGTATCAAAATTTTTATAATTAGTCCATACTTTTCAGATTGTTAGCTTTATATTTATATATATGGAGATTCATGTAAAGAAGGCAAGTGTTTTCACCCAGCTCAAGAAACCCCAGCCACTCTCTATGGATCTCAAACTTGGACCTTTTCAACCGACAATTTGGTCAGGTGCCTATGGGTACTTCTACAGGCGGCCGCCGCAGCCGGGCTGATAGATCTGATTTCTTTGACAGTTCTCTGCTTAAGGAGTCTTTGAGCAAAGTCTTGTGGCGTTCTACCCTTTGGCTGGAAGGTTGGGAAGAGATGGAAATGGGAGGCTGCAGATTGATGTAATGGAGAGGGAGTCTTGTTCATAGAGGCTGAAACAAGTTGTGCTATGGAAGATGACTCACTCCAAGTTTGAAGATGAAGCAGCTCGTTCCAGCCATTGATTATTCAACAGGCGATATTCCTTCATCCACTGCTTCTGTTACAGGTACGATCACAATAAATATATATTCGGTAATTTTAGTCTGTTTATTCTCTCAATGTATATTAGTAATTATGATTCTAGGTAACTTATTTCAAGTGCGGAGGAATTTGTGTTGGGATTGGGTGGCATCATATTTGGGAGAGGAGTTCTGCATTTCATTTTATCAAATCATGGGCTGAAATAACTTGTGGCTTCCCTATTAGCATTCCCCTCCATTGATAGAACCATACTTCATGCAAGGATCCCATCTCCTCCTACATTTAACCACAGTGAATACCATCCCCCTCTCCCATGGATATTCTTGAATCACAATCAAGTCCTAGACCCACTTCCATGGCGAAATTTCGTTATCACTTGATCAAATCAATTCTTTTAGAGCAAAACTAAAAAATGAGGATGGAGCCAGGTATAGCACTTTTGTGATTTTAGCAGCACATATATGGCGTTGTGTGTGCCAGGCACGTGGATTGCCTGGGAGTCAATTAACCAAACACCATACCAACAGAAGGACGAGCAAGATTGTATCCTCCACTACCATTGGGTATTTCGGGAATGTGGTATTACGCTATACCGATGGCCTGGTAAGTGATATTCAATCAAAAACCGTTGATTTATACTGTGAAGATTATTCATGAAGCGTTAAAGCAGATGAACGATGAGTATTTGAGGTCGACATTAGCTTATGTGGAACAACTTATAATGATCGGACAACTCTCAAACAAGGAGTTTCAAGTAGTAATTGTCCTAACCTAAAGTAATAAGTTGGACTCAAATGCCCATATATGATACGGATTTGGATCGGGCAATCCTTTTTTTAGAGTGGGCTATTGTCCTTTGAAGGAGCTTCGCTTATCCTGCAGAACCCATCTAATGAAAGAAATTTATCTTTGATTATATGCTTGGAGACTCCTCACATGGAACTATTCAAGAAGTTGTTATACACGGAGGGAGATGCCCCCGTGAAAAAATATTATGAGCATAGTTCTTTATAAAAGAATAAAAATAAAAATAAAATAACATCTTCTTTTGTACTTATTTACGTTCATCTGTATTTATTGATTATGATTAAATCAACCATATATATGTACTGTTTATTAAATTCTTTTATCTATTATATTTAAAAAGTATTTTAAAACAGAAGGCGTGTTGAATTGAAAAAAATAAAGAAAAAATAGCCGATTGGCTACTACATGTGGGGTGACGAAATAATGAGGTTGGGAGGAAAGCGCCGTGATATATGATATATGAGGCGGTGGTGCCGTGGTGGGGGTTTATTGTTCTTTTTTCAAACATTAAGGGGGGCAATTGATTTTGTACAAAAGAAAAAGGGAAAGAGTGTGATAAAATACCATTTGTCCAAAGAGGAAGCAGAAGAGAAAGGGAGAAGCTGTTCAGCTTGGTTCAGTCTCGGTTTTGATACTGTAACTTTGAGATTTAATTTATCAAGATTGAGGTAGGGTTTAGATTCTGTAAAATTTGTTAAAGCTCTTTATGGAAAATACTTCAACTTTGGAGCACTTACTAATTTTTCATGATCAAAACCGTGGGAGAAAATTCAAGATTTTCTCATAAATGGAGATCCAAGAAGAAGACAAGTGTTGTACGCCCCGCTCAACAAACGCCAAGCCATTCTCTATGGATCTCAAACTTGGATCTGCTGAACGCACACTTCGGTCAGGTGCCTCTGGTGTACTTCTACCGGCGGCCGGCGGTGTCTGAAAGATCCGATTTCTTTGACACTTCACTGCTTAAGGAGGCTTTGAGCAAAGCTCTGTGGCGTTCTACCCTTTGGCTGGAAGGCTGAAAAGGGACGAAAATGGGAGGCTGCAGATTGAGTGTAATGCAGAAGGAGTTTTGTTCATGGAGGCTGAAACAAGTTGTGTTGTTGATGATGAATTTGGTGATGATAACTTCACCCAAGCTTGAGGATGAGGCAGCTCGTTCCAAGTCTTGATTATTCATCTACAAATATCTCCTCTTCCCGCTGCTAGTGTCACAGGTAATCCTTTAATATGAACTACATCCACTCTTATTGAAAGTATAATACATTTGAACTATTTAGTTTTGCCATCTTTACTAGTTTAACATGAGTTTAAATGAGTAAACGACATTCCCACCCAAGGTTTGACGAAATCCTAAGTTAGTATCATAGATTCCATTTATTCCAGATTCTCACCCTTAAAGTGACGAAAAAAAGTTTTGAATTTATGAGCCGGACTATTGTTTCTTATGAAGGATCTTCGTTTATCTTGCCAAGTCCATCTAATGAAAGGAGTTTGTTTTTGATTATATGCTTGGAGAGTCCTCACATGGAGCTCTTCAAGAAGTTGTTATACACTGAGGGAGTTGCCCCAATGAAAAAATATTATAAGCCTAGCTCTTTGTGAAAAAATAAAAATAAAATAATATCTTCTTTTATAGTTCAGCACATCTATGTCTATGTTTTTCTCATTCTTCTTCTTTGAAAAATGTCATGAATCTGTACTTAAACTGATCACTACCACCCCATTCCTAGTACTTTAGCTGCCAAGATCACAACCTCATCAAAACCTCCGTTCCACACACCAAAGCAAGAAAGAAAACCACCATAGCACCACTACGTCGACAAACCATCATTAAATCTAGAGTAATGTTACAACTAGAGTTGGGCATTTGGGACTGGGCCCAAAAGGCCAGCTCCAAAACCCGATCCTAGGAGGCCTGGTCCCAAAACGGGATCAGGCCTAAGGAGGAGGGCTCGGGCCCTCCTCCAGTCCCAGGTCTGGGTCCAAATTTTTTTGTATTTTTTCAATATAGTCCCTTGCCAAATTATATAAAACCCTCTGTTAATTTTTAAATAAATATAAATTATGAAGGCTAAAATAAAATTTTATAAAATTTATAAAAAAAAAAATTCTTTCAGGTCTAAAAAATTTATAAATTTTACCCCTAAAAAAAATACTAAAAACCCCCTATAAAATTTCGTTTTGTCTCCAAAATAAAAAAAAAAAATTGAGGGGGGAAAATAAAATTATCCAAGCCCCATGGGACCAGTCCCAACCAGGCCTAAGGCCTAGTCCGGGTCCTGGTTTTTCTCATGGGTCTGGGACCGGTCCCAGGCCCATGAGTGATTGGTCCCATTTGGGACTAGTCCCAAACGGGCTTAGGCCTGGGCCCGCAAGGGACCAGTCTCTGCCCACCTCTAGTTACAACCATAATCTCTTCTCGCAAATTTTCTCTCACAACCTCGATGTGGCAGCTCGTCATTGGTCAACTTGTAAAATGAGTCATGTCTGTCCATTTGCGAGCTAACCAATGATGAGTTGTCATGTCGATATTATGAGAGAATGTTGTAAACATAACATATTCCTTAAATCTAACACCCAAACTGCCAAGAGGCAAGAACAACGCTAATGTACACCACCACATCAACAAACTGCCAAGAAAATAAAAGACCTTGAGCCATACGGCTAGGGGTGGAAAAATCCGGTTAACCGAACCGGTTAACCGGATTCTTGAACCGAACCGGTTTTCGGTTTACAAAATAAACTAAACCGAAACCGGTCCGGTTTCGGTTATTAAGCGGTTATAAACCGAACCGAAAATTCGGTTCGGTTAATCGGTTAACCGGTTAATAAAATTAATTCGGTTCGGCCCATTTCACACACTCCACTTATGGCCCATAAGTTATGGGCTGCCTTTTTGGCCCAATTTAGCACACTCCATTTTGCACTTTTTCTTTTTTCCATGTTTCTATTTTTTTTTTAACACTTAAAGTTATAAACTTATATCTACTGTAAATTCAATTACATTAATAAACTTATATTTATTGTAATTGAATTTGAATTCATATAATTTGAATGTACATCAAAATCAAATATTAATAATTTTAAATTACAAATCAAAGATTACAAAAACAAAGATATGATACAAACTCAATTACAAACTAAAAAATATACAAACTATACAAACAAAAAAATAGTCCTCTGTTGCCAACTTAGTTTCCACAAAATCAAACATAATAAACACATTTCCACATCCTAAAATTACAAATCAAACACATGAAATGAATAAAATAAGAAACTATTTCCACAAAATCCAAATTAAACACATGATTAAAACTAGCAAACACATTTCCAAAAAAACAACATAATAAAATTAAAACTAGCAAACACATTTCCACAAAACAACATAATAATCACATTTCACAAAACAAACCTAAGTACTAACAAGCACATTTCCAAATCAAATAATGAATGCAAACTGAGAAGATATACAAGAAAGTTCACAAAGACAAATCTAAATATAACAAATCCACAAAAATGATTTCAAAAGAGCCTCCAGCAAGCAATAACTGTCCAACTGCAAGCACATTCCAATCCATTGCAAATGTCAACTGTCAAAAAAAAAAGTTCCACAACTTGTTAGATAGCTTCCATTTTAAATTTCTTTCTTTTTATAAGTTTGTCCTCAAATCTAGAAATTAGTAAATAAAGAACAAATAAAACTAAATAAAATCATAGTATAACCTGGTTATTGGAAATTTGGATTGCCCTTCAATCAATTAGTTGAGAACGAGTACTTTTACTCTGAAAGATGGAAATTCTACAAAAAGTTGGATAAACACATAATTAAATATTGAAAGTATAATTAACAAATCCAACACATACATAATTAATTAATTGAAAGTAAAGCAAAAATTTTACCCGACTCAATTTTCGTCAACTCATCCAAGGTGTCCTCAATAATTATTTGATTACTGAGTATATTAAAAAAAAACACATCAAAAGCTACCATACTGGCATACTGGAGCCCAAGAAGCACTTTAACTTTAGAACTCATCAAAAGCTACTAAACTTATCCACAAATAAGCACTTCTCAAATATATAATACCTCTAAATGCATAAAAAATAGAATCTGGAAACAGATGAATGGGATTTTCAATTTTTCATATTACTGTCAAAGTATATACATTATCATTCCAACACTCATATAGACAGTAGACACAAAAGGATAGCTCCCATCATCAAACATTGCTAAATGCCTTAAAATTGAGTTTTTTTCTTTTAAAAAAAATTAATTATCAGCCTGCCTCATCCCGTCAATGGTCACCAACAAATACAAAGAAAAAAAGCCAAAGAAGAATTGGTCACCCACCGGAGACAGACGATGACGTGGAGACTTGGTGAAGGAAGAAGAATGGTGACCGCGACTGGTGACTGCCGTGCCGACCGTTAAGCAACAGATCTGAGAACAACAGATCTGAGAACTGAGAGTGAGAGACTCCGGCGTGACCGCGTGACTCCGACGTGAGAACTGACAACTGAGACAGAGACTCTGAGAGTGTGAGAGAGAGACTAACGGTTACTGGGGTCTGAGGTGAGTGTCTGAGTACCGGCGCCGGCGCGAGTGCGTCTGAGAGCTGAGTACTACCGTACTGGAGCAGTGGAGCTGTCGTCTGCTGAGCTGGAGAGTGGAGCTGCCGTCTGCCGAGCTGGAGAGTGGAGCTGCCGTCTGCCGAGCTGGAGAGTGGAGATTGGAGTAGACTCGTACTGGAGCAGTGGAGCTGCCGTCTGCCGAGCTGGAGAGTGGAGAGTGAAGATTGGAGTAGACTCGTACTAGAGCAGTGGAGCTGCCGTCTGCCGAGCTGGAGAATGGAGACTGGAGTAGACTAAGTAGTGAAGACTGATGAAGACTGAAGGTAGTGAAGTGAGTGTCTGAGACAGTGAGACTGAGTGAGATCGTGAGAGTTGAGACTGTGAGAGACTGAGAGTGTTAGATGGTGTTAGGGTTTGGAATTGCAAATGCAAAATAAAAATGTAAAAATAAAAATGCAATAATTTTTTAAACATTTCGGTTCATAAAACCGGTTCTGGGTAACCGGTTTTCTTTTTTAAAAAAAACCGAAACCGAACCGAATATCCGGTTTTTTTTAATATCCGAACCGAAACCCAAAAAAAAACCGAATTTTCGGTTCGGTTTCGGTCCGGTTTCTCGGTCCGATTCGGTTTTCGGATTTTTTTTTCCACCCCTACATACGGCATCAACACTCCAAAACGGCTAAGATAATGTCCCATAGGTTTAGGGTTATTATCTAAGACCTCCCCTGAGGTTTCAAGAAACATTGCAACATGATCATGATCAAACGACTCTTAAGCAAAAAGCCCCTACATGCAAGTCTCCTAACCTTAGGATACTAAGTTGGCTCTGAATGCCTGTATATGGCACTGTTTTAAAGCTTGACCCGAGCCTTGACCTCGTCAAGTGCCCAAATCCCGGGTTGACTGGTCCAACCGATTGGACTGGCGGGTTGGGCCGATGACGTTATTATAATGATGTCAACTAAAATCCAAATGACGCCGTTTCAAAGAGGGTATTATTGACTTTTTAAAACTTATAAAGAAAACCCTAAATTCCTTACTTTTATTCATTTTTCCCATTTCTTTCTCTCTTCTTCTACCGTCTCCCTTTCTTCTCTCCCTTGCATCTTTTTTTGATCTACCATGGCTACCGGTTGGACCTCAATAGTGTAGGCTTCATGGCTGCTCCGCCACGATGTAGATTTCGTGGCTGCTCCGCCACGGTGTAGGCTTCGTGGCTGTTGGATCTATTCGCCATGGTGAAGGCTTTGTGACTACTAGATCTATCCGCCACAGTGAAGGCTTCATCGTTGTTGGATCTATCCACCATGGTGAAGGCTTCATGGCTGTTAGATTTCCTTTTTTCCATTTCTTTTTCCTCTTCTTCACCTGTCTTGTTTCTTCTCTCCCTTGCATTTTTTTTTTTCGATCTACGATGGCTAGTTGGCTACTTGGGCATCTTGTTGGCTTTTTGACATCTTTACCTAAGGTTTTCTCGAAAATATTGACTTGGTTGCAATTTGTTGGTTGGACTGTTTGGTATTTGCTATAATAATTCTTTTCCATCCAACAATCCATGAATTTGAATTTTGAAACATTGACTGTTATTATAAAATGTTGTGATATGTTAATAGACGTTTAAATTATGATAAAAATTGAAGATGGAGAACTGGAAATTGGAAGAGGGGAAATTGTTTTTAGGGAATTTTGGTGACTTAGTTGTGACACCGGTCTGGTTGAACTGACGGTTTGTCACTATTCCTCCAGTCCAAATCTGGTTCATTCCGGGTTAATTGTTAAAGGCGGGTTTAGAAGGTTTTCGGATCGGTGTTGATGCTAGCTCCCGGTCGAATCGGTTTGACCGGTCGGTCCGGTCTGGGTTTTAAAACAGTGGTATATGGTAAGGATTTTGGATTAGGCAACCCATCCCTTTTAAAGGGGTATCATACGTTTTGCCAAGCCCATCCAAAGAAAGGAGTTTATCGTTGATCATATGCTTAGAAAGCCATCACATGTAGCTGTTCAAGAAGTTATTTTACAATGTTGGA